GGGCAGCTGCTTTCCGTTCGGGTCGTCGCGGGGGACGGGCCGCTGCTGCTCTCTCGGAGCCTTTCTCCAGGTCGGGGTGCAGAGCTGTCGCCCCTTTCCTTGTGCCTTTCCGCGTCTCACTCGGGATTGGCTCCGCAGCTCTCCAGTAGCGAGCGAGCCCTCGGGATGACCGAGGAACAAAGTAGAACAGCGCTGCTCGGGCCGCGGAAAGCGTTCCCTCTGGGCATTCGCCGAGGGAGACGGAGGCTCTTGAGGGAAGATCGGAAAGCTTCGTGCGTTCAGAGCCGTCGCGGAACGTGTGCAGAAAGCTGCCTGTTAGGGCCAAGCGCTCCGTTTCGATGTTCGTATCAAGAATTTTCTGGGAATGTGCACTCCCATCAGGGGAGTCCGGTCGTCTGTGCTAAGCCTTTTTCTTAATCCTTTTCTAGTTAACCACGCTCACGGCTACGGTTTTTTTTTTTTTTTTTTAATCAGTAAGGTGTTTTTGTCTGGCCTTTTGTTGGCTAAGACGACGTTGACTTTTTAAAGTAATTTTGGGCCTTTCACTTGTTTAGTAATTATCTAGAAAACTGTTTTTCATTCAACTCCGTAATGCACTTGAACTTTTAACTTGAGCACACTTACTCCCTTAAGCTTTTTACTCAGTTCAGTTTTGTGCGTCTTGGGCATACCAAGGGAGGCTTTGGTGGGTTTGTACTGTTGTGGGAAACGTACGTTTACATTTTTAAAGCTTAACTATAATCTAGATTAGTTTTGGCTGGATCTTATTACTAACAGTCTAGATTAATTCCCAAGTTGGTATGGGGATGGCATTATAAGTGTCTCCCTAGATAGTTGTTTACTTGGTTGTCAGGGAGGAGAGAACAGGTGTCAATGTTTAGTTTCATCAGCCTTTTATTTTGATGCTCAGAAATGGCTAAGAAACATGTTGAGATTTAGTAGTTGGACGAAAGAACGATGTACAGAAAGAACTATAAAGTAAGTTGTAGAATGTATTGCTCCAGTTTTAATTCTGCTCACTGAAAGACTTGAAGGAGGAAGTAAAGGACTTGGGACATTAACAGCTGGCTTTAGCCCAGAGGGTCTTTAGATTCTTTTCCAGGGTTCCTCAAGGCCAGAGCTTTTTTTTCTTTCTTTTTTTAAAAAAAATATATTTTATTGATTTTTTACAGAGAGGAAGGGAGAGAGATAGTTAGAAACATCGACCAGCTGCCTCCTGCACATCTCCTAGTGGGGCTATGCCCGCAACCCAGGTACATGTCCTTGACCGAAATCGAACCTGGGACCTTTCGGTCTGACGCTCTATCCACTGAGCCAAACCGGTTCTGGCAAGGCCAGAGCTTTTCGTGGTAATACTAGGACGTTATTTGTCCTTTTCACTCTGATTCTTCCATGAGTGTTGAGTGGCGTTTTCTAAAGACTGACATGACTGATATCACTACAGGTTAAAATGTGGAAGCAGCCGAAACCGGTTTTGCTCAGTGGATAGAGCGTTGGCCTGCGGACTGAAGGGTCCCAGGTTCGATCCCGGTCAAGGGCATGTACCTTGGTTGCGGGCACATCCCCAGTGGGGGGAGTGTGCAGGAGGCAGCTGGTCGATGTTTCTCTCTCATCGATGTTTCTAACTCTCTCTCTCCTTTCCTCTCTGTAAAAACTCAATAAAATATATTTAAAAAAATAAAATAAAATGTGGAAACAGATGTGAAAATCCAGCTCCTTTCTATTAAGCCAGACATTAAAGAGATTTGAAAAATGTTGAACAGTGCCACTCTTCTCACTAGTTTCGTTTTGAAAACTATTTTTTAAAATTGATTTGAGAGAGAGAAGAGAAGGGGGGAGAGAGGGGAGAGAGAGAGAGAGAGAGAGAGAGAGAGAGAGAGAGAGAGAGAAGCATTGATTTGTTGTTCCACTTAAGCATTTATTGGTTGCTTCTTGTATTTGCCCTGACCAGGCATGGAACCCCAAACCTTGGTGTATTGGGACGATGCTCTAACCAACAGCTATGTGGCCAGGGCCTTGAAAACTGTTTTACTAAAAAGTTTTGCTAATATATGATGGGCTTATTGTTATTTTAAAGTGAATTAATACTTAAAGCATTTGTTAGTTTCAATGCCTAGTACTGTAAACCGTAATAGGTGTAATTAACCTGACAAAAGTTTTATGGGGTTCTAAATAATTTTTAAGAGGATAAAAATCCTGAGACCAAAAAGTTTGAGAACGTTTTTCTAGTCTGATAGACCAGTATCATTGTTAATAATTGGGACTCTGTACAGTTTCATGTTTAGGGAGGATGCTAAGGATTTAGGGAGGTAGGAAGCTGAACTGTATCCTTAAGAGGCTTATAAGAGGAAGTAAGAATCCCAAGTTACTACGGGGCAATATCAGTAGCATGAGACTGAACCGTAGTCTCCAAAAGACAATCTTTCTTTTTTTAAAAAAAATATATTTTATTGAATTTTTACAGAGAGGAAGGGAGAGAGAGAGAGAGTTAGAAACATCAATGAGAGAGAAACATCGATCAGCTGCCTCCTGCACATCCTCAACTGGGGATGTGCCTGCAACCATGGTACATGCCCTTGGCCGGAATCGAACCTGGGACCCTTGAGTCTGCAGGCCGACGCTCTATCCACTGAGCCAAACTGATTAGGGCAGACAATCTTTTTTTAAAGGAAGTTTTACTAGAACGATGTATTTTTTTCAGGCGCACCTCAGGAGGTTATTGTCTGGGGCTAAGATACTGAAATTGAGTAATAATTTCAGGTTAAATTAGGTAGACATTAAATTCACACAGGACTTAAATTTCTGGGTTCTCCATTAATTAATGAAATATGAATATTTTTGGAATTTGAGTGAAACACTTGATTATAATTTTTAACAATTCCAGCATTATCCAGTGGATGTTTTAAAAATATATATCCACTGAGCCAAACCGGTTTTGGCTCAGCATGTGGTCTTTTTTTTTTTTTAAATATATTTTATTGATTATCCACAGAGAGAAAGGGAGAGAGATAGAGAGTTAGAAACATCGATGAGAGAGAAACGCAACCAAGATATATGCCCTTGAACGGAATCGAACCTGAGACCCCTCAGTCCGCAGGCCGACGCTCTATCCACTGAGCCAAACCGGTTTCGGCAGCATGTGTTCTTTTAAAAAAAAAATAATACTGTTTTTTACAGAGAGGAAGGGAGAGGGATAGTTAGAAACATCATGAGTGAGAAACATCGGTCAGCTGCCTCCTGCATGCCCCCTATTGGGGATCGAGCCGCAACCAAGATATATGCCCTTGAACGGAATCGAACCTGAGACCCCTCAGTCCGCAGGCCGATGCTTTATCCACTGAGCCAAACCAGTCAGGGCAGCAACTTTTAAATATACATACAATTTAGTAGTATTAATTGCAGGCACCAAGGGAAAGACATGTTCTGTTTCTCAATGGGAAGAATAACTAAAGAATTTGCAGTCATCTGTAACCCACCACATTAATTGTATTTTTTAAAAAATATATTTTTGTTTATTTCAGAGAGGAAGGGAGAGGGGGAGAGAGATAGAAACACCAATGATGGGGGAGAACCATTGATTGCTGCCTGCAACCCAGCCATGTGCTCCAACCGGGAATTGAACTGTGATCTCCTGGTTCACGCACCTCAGGAGGTTATTGTCTGGGGCTAAGATACTGAAATTGAGTAATAATTTCAGGTTAAATTAGGTAGACATTAAATTCACACAGGACTTAAATTTCTGGGTTCTCCATTAATTAATGAAATATGAATATTTTTGGAATTTGAGTGAAACACTTGATTATAATTTTTAACAATTCCAGCATTATCCAGTGGATGTTTTAAAAATATATATCCACTGAGCCAAACCGGTTTTGGCTCAGCATGTTGATCTATGAACCACACTGTCCAGGCCCCTGCAGTGTTCTTTATATTCCCCTGATGATGTTTATTGATTTTACTGTTAGTTTGAGATAGCAGGCAATATGATGAACTGGGTAGGTATTAGAATTCATAATTATGTATACTATTATGAAATAGAATCAGTATGCTGAACTATAGCTGTGACTTGAGAGAAATGGTAGTCTGACAGATACATGAAGTGTTGCTAGTGGATATTGCAAGTTTATAGGTTATAACAATATTACAAAGAAAATCTGACCTAAAAAAATATTTCATTGTATTTTGAAAGCAATATGATTGTTACGGATAGAGTACTCATAAAGGTACGTTGAATAGTTCCAATTTCAAAGCTATAAAGCAGTCATAAACTTCCCATAGCAGTTAGCTTTTATATAAAGTGTTAACAGTTGTTTACTTAAGTACCTTTCTCCATTAGACTGTTCACTTTTGAAGGTCAGGAATCAGCCTTTATACATCCTTTATTTCTGAAATGTCCAGTACAGTGACTGTATTTTTTTTTTTAAATATATTTTATTGATTTTTTTACAGAGAGGAAGGGAGAGAGATAGAGAGTCAGAAACATCGATGAGAGAGAAACATCGACCAGCTGCCTCCTGCACATCTCCTACTGGGGATGTGCCCGCAACCCAGGTACATGCCCTTGACCGGAATCGAACCTGGGACCCTTCAGTCCGCAGGCCGACGCTCTATCCACTGAGCCAAACCGGTTTTGGCAGTGACTGTATTCTTAATAAAAGTTCTTGAAGTCAGATTCATTCATTTAACAAGTTTATATTGAATGCCAATATGTTCAAGGCACCATTCTAGACGCTAGAATTGGAAGGTTGCCTCAAAAACATGAAGCAGCAGGTATGTTCCTCCTCCACTTTCAATTCCCAGGGTGTTTTGTTATTAAGGGTTGGTTGTCATGGGGTGGTTTTTATTTTCTGACTAGAGGCCTGGTGCACAAAAATTTGTGCACTCGGGGGGAGTGGGGGTGTCCCTCAGCCTGGCCTGTGCCCTCTCACAGTCTGGGACCCTCGGGGGATGACCACTTGCTGACTTAGGCCTGCTCCCCGGGGGATTGGGCCTAAGATGGCAATCAGACATCCCTCTGGCAGCCCAGCAGCCCTCAGGGGGATGTCCACTGTCAGCGGGGAGCAGACCTAAGCTGCAGTCGGACATCCTTAGTGCTGCTGAGGAGGCAGGAGAGGCTCCCACCACCACCGCCGCACT